CATTTTTTTTGGGGGGGGGTCCGGTCGTGAGGTCTGAACTCTGGGCTTGGGTGCTGTCCCTCAGCTCTTCAGCTAAAGGCTAGCGCTCTACCACTTGAGCCACAGCGCCACTTCCAGCTTTTTTCTTTTTTGCTTATGTGGTGCTGAGGAATCAAACCCAGGGCCTCATGCATTCAAGGCAAGCGCTCTACTACTGAGCCACCTTCCCAGTCCTGGTATTCACATTCTTGCTTGGATTTTTTTGCTCCTTGCTGGTACTTTGCCACCTGGGCCACACCTCCAATTCTGGCTGTTTATTGGTTCATTGGACATAAGAGTGTAGAGGATTCATACACCTAGGTTGCCTTTGAATCTTGATTCTGAGATCTTAGCCTCCTGAGTGGCTAGGAGTAGAGGTATGAACCACTAGTACTGGCTTACCTGTTTTCATTTTGAAAGAATATTTTGAGTGAGGATTTAAGAGCTAAGGTTAGTTAGGCAGTGTCCAGGATCTTTATAAGAGTTTCACTTACTTTTTCTTTTCTTTTCTTCTTTTGTGGTTGCTGGGATTTGAATTTGTGCTTGCCAGACAGGTACTCTGCCATCGTGTAGTGCTTTCAGCCCTTTTATACACTAGTTATTTTTGATATAAGGTCTCTCATGTCCTGCCCAGGTTCACACCTGGACAGAGATCCACTATGTTTGCTTCCAACAACCATGTGCCACCATGTCTAGCTATTGATTGAGAAGAGGTTTTGTGATTTTCTTTCTTTTAGCCTGGCTGGCCTCAAACTCTGATCGTCTCACCTCAGCCTCCAAATCAGCTAGTATTCCACAGGTAAATAACTGGTGCCCAGCTTATTTACCATTATAATAGTTGACTACAATTGAACACCATGTTGTTAGATATTATTAGATCACCAATAATCTGTACTAATTCAGTTAACAACAGTAATCAGTACATGCCTTGAAATTATGTTCTTACAATTTTTCTTTGGAAACCAAATCAAACACATATTGCGTATGAACCTCCATACCTTTGCATCAGTCCTCCATGAAATACTTAATTTCACAATAGCCAAGAAGAAATAACCGTACTGTTGGTAGAAGCCTAGAGATGCACAGATACATGTTCACATGGCTCTTTTGGCTGGGAGTCTCACTGAAGCCTGCTGAAAACCCATCACCTGCTCAGTGCTCTTTGTGGATTTTAACTTAAAGGTGGTCTTCAAGGTACCAGGTTGCCTTGCTTATACAAACACAGGAGTAATTTACCTAGTGTCAGCTTACTGAAGGATCTGCTTAATAATTAAATCTTGACCCTGAAAATCTAGTTAACATGATAAATTCCTTCACATTTTCAAGAGTCATGAGGTCTTAGTCCTCTTATAGCTATGTGATGGTAACTCATGAATGAGATGTTCATGTAAGATGTACCAGGCTGGGTGTCATATTCTCACTCTTGTAATCCTAGCTACTCAGGAGGCTGAGATCTGAGGATGCTGTTCAAGGCCAGCCATGGGACTCTTTATCTCTAATTAATTACCAGAAAACTGGAAGTGGCACTGTGGCTCAAAGTGGTAGAATGCCAGCCTTGAGTATAAAGGTTTAGGGACAGCTCTCTTAAGTTCAAGTCCCATGACTGAAAAAAAAATGTGAGCCTGCACATTCAGGGATCAGCTGTTCATTCTCCTGTTGACTTCTGCTCTCAGAGTCCATCAGGAAAGTCAAAACTCCCCCCACAGCCTGGTCAGAACCCCACCTCTGAAAACACTTGCTCTTGAAAGTGAGTTTTTTTGGTTAATCTAATGCTTAAAAAGTTAAATCTACTAAGTATAATTATTCATCTTTTTCTTCCTTCAAAAATGTATGCATATTCTCATTTTATAGTATACTGATTATTTCTATAGTATACTTGATTATTAGAAAATCAAAAGAAGAAAACCAAAGCATCTCTACCAGATATTTACTACTCACTCTTTGGTCTATTTTTATTCATTCATGAAACACACACACACACACACACACACACACAAACAGAGATACACACAGACACACAGAGACAGACACACATACATATACACACTCCTAAACCCAAACCAAACAATCCTGCCCCTTCTTTTCTTTTTTCCCCTCTTCTTTCCTCTCCTTAGTTTTTCCTCTTAAGATAATTGAGCGATAGCATCCATGTGCATCAGTTTTTGAATGGTATTTAGAATTATTTGATTTGCAGATTATTTTAGACAGCATACCAATATACATGTATTAGAAAAGTGAAAACAATCTGGGGTAAAACATAACTTAGGTAATAGCATAACAAACCAGAAAGTCAGTCCTTGTAGACTGGAAATGAGGTGAAGAATTTACTTCTGAATTTCACTGCAGCCAGCAAAGGGCTGGACTTGTGCTCATATTTGACTTATTGATATTACGTGTTTAGAATTTTAATACTGAAATGCTTTTTATTTCATGAATTATTTGGGCATGGTATGTTGTTCTTGAAGTTATGTTGAATTCACTTAGACCATATTTTATTTTTGTTTTTAATGTGTACTTAATAAATGAAATATGAGTGTGCCATATTATTTTGGAGAAACCTGTTCCGAATGTATGATTATCAAATGACAAAGGTAGTGTAGGAGTCAGGAAACTGAAGAGATAGATTGATTCAGGATTACACAAGGCATAGTTAATTGGCAATTGAAAGAAGAAATGTGTCTTGCACCACAGCAAGAAGACAGATACAGGTAGCTATACCTCAAGGCAGAAAGGAAGGCCACACACACACACAAACACACACAGACACACACACACACACACACATATAGAGCTGGCTAGATAAAGGTATACCATAGCCAAATGGGATGCACATAGCATTTTCCAAAAACTATTAACATGTTTAAATATCAGATAAGACACAGTCCAGCATTTGGTGGCCAGCACAACATGCTCTGCTGAGTCTCTCAGCAACTGTGTTTGTCCTGTAGCGCTTGGGACGTATGCCAGGGTTACCTGGCAGGAAATATGACAGTTACCACCAAGATGACTGTAGTCCTATGAAACTGGGTCCCTACCTGGATCTTTTCCTTTGTTGACTTTACTGGCAGGCTTCTTCTTTTCATCTTTTTATGTAGTCTGGCATTGATATAGCCTAGAGACAATTTTTGAACTTTGGAAGGAGTCATTGTTTGGATTTCTCATTTAGGAAGGTAATTGGTAACTTAGATTTCTTTCTTGTCAAATTTTTGAATTATTCATATTGACTATGAGTCAACTGCTAAATTACCACTTATTGAGGCTTTAAGTATGTCCATAGTTATGGATACAGTATTCTCTTGTTAATTTTATCTCTGTTTCTAATGTCACATTATTTTTCTTCCCATATCTAATGATCTTTTTTGTTGTTGTTGGTTGTGGGACTTGAACTCTGAGCCTGGGAGCTGTCCCTCAGCTCTTCAGCTTAAGGCAAGTGCTCTACTACTTGGGCCACAGTGCCCCTTTGGGTTTTCTGGTGGTTAATTAGAGATGAGTGTCTCATGGACTTTCCTGCCTAGGTTGACATTGACCGGTGATCCTCAAATCTCAGCCTCTTGAGTAGCTAGGATTACAGGCTTGAGCAACTGGCTCCCAGCTCTAATGAACTCTGATATTTTCCTTATCTAGACGAGAATTTAGAAAAAGTTGAATTATTTTCTTGTTAGTTTTAATTTATAAAACTATTATCCTCTCTCAAACCACTATACTATCAACAAAGGACCATAACTTCACATTTTTAGCATAGTTTATGATATACCATGCACTGTTACATATCATGGCCAGTCAGCCAGAAAAACAAATGAGTTAAAATCATTTCTTTGATAAAAAACTTTTAGATTAACTATTGCTTACATTTTTGTTCCTCTGACATTTGGTATAATTCTCTTTTGAAATGTTGTTGTTATTGGCTTCCTGCTTACCATACAATGTTGATGCTGAATTTGGGCATTTTTCTAATTTTGTGTGTTGAAAACTTAATTCATTAAAAAAATCCTTTCATCCTTTTAAAGAGTAATATAAAATAATTTACAAATTTGTTTAAATTTTTCTTAGTTCTTAATGTAAATATATTCCTTAGAATACTTATATTTTAGAATTTAGTCATATTTGCCTTATGGTTAACTAGATATACCAATATGTATTAACTTAATGATATTGTGCATAGTTATTTGTATGTGCTCAAGCTGAAACCATATTGTAATTTTTTGTGAAATGCTAAGCCTGTAGTTGGACATAATGCATTTTTGGAAAGTGTTTTCTAAAATTTTTCCCCATCTATATTTTTTTGTTTGTTAAGGATATTGCATTTAATTCACTAAATCTTATTTAGTGTCGTCATTTATTGTCAAAAGTGACTTCTTTTCTTTTTCTTGCTGCAAATTCTGGGGCTTAAACACAAGGCCTGGGGCTGTCCCTTAGTTATTTGCTCAAAGCTGATATTCTACCACATGAGCTACAAGTCCACTACTGGCTTTTTGGTACTTAATAGAGGTAAGAGTCTCATGAACTTTCCTGCTCTGGCTGACTTTGAATTGTGATCCTCAGATCTCAGCCTCCTGAGTAGCTAGGATTCCAGATATGAGCCACCAGTGCCCAGATATACTCATTTTCTATGTGACATTTATATATTTTTAAATTTTAACTTGATGGAATTATTTTGTTTGAATTTTATTCTTAGCTCTTAACATAAAACATATTCTTCAGAATATGTTTTTGGAATTTAACAGTAATTGCCTTATAGTTAACTAGATATCTAAATTATGCATGGTTGTACGTGCTGAAGCAGAAACCATATTGTGAATTTCAGCTAAACACTAAGCCTGTAGCTAGATTTAATGCATGTTTGGAAAGTATTTTCTAAAATTTTTTCCTTTGATGTAAATTTTTAGGGAGTTTGGTAAGAATGTTGGATGATGAAATAACAAGGATCATAAGCATTTTAAACTTCCACAATATAATGTAAAATGTTTATCTTTTTATCACAGAGTGTTCGAACATGTAAACTTTTAACTGAGGATTTAGTATCTGAAAGCAAGGAAAGTATCACAATATTAGAAATTGGTCACAAGGAAAGTATTAAGGTATGTATGCTTTGTTCAGAACTGTGAGTTGGTTATCATATCTACCTACAGTTCAGAAGTTATTTTTAATAACAGGCAATGGCATCATTGTTGATGACATTTCTTTTCCTTCCTCAAATCTGCTGTCTTTATGACCCTCAGAAGATTTTTTTTTTTTTGGTCCAGTTGTGGGGCCTGAACTCTGGGCCTGGGTGCTGTCCCTCAGCTCTTCAGCTCAAGGCCAGCACTCTACCACTTGAGCCACAGCACCACTTCCGGCTTTTTTCTTTTTGCTTATGTGGTTCTGAGGAATCAAACCCAGGGCTCATGCATGCAAGGCAAGCACTCTACAACTGAGCCAACTTCCCAGCCCAACCCTCAGAAGATTTTATGCACTAATACTAACAGAATATCTGCAGCATATCCAGTCATTCTTGCCGATGATTTAGATGATGAAAGAAATGTATGTGTGAGATGTTTGACCAAATAGAAAAGTAGTTTGTGGCCATGAATTGGAATGATTGGATGTAGACTTAAGATTTCACTGTCATGCGCTTATGAAGTAATTGAGTATGACTGGAGAGAAAGGAGACAGACAGTGACTGAGGGAAGAAGAAAAGCATGAAATTCTTATGATTAGCTTATTTGTGCCCTGACATTCATTGGAGACAAATAAGAAACCATTTTCTTTCAATAGTGCTTTCAGTCTGCTACTTCCCCTTCGAGCATGGTATACTAGAGAGACTTAGTGTCCTGTAGACAAAAGTTCCATTTTTTAATGTGCTAAGTAGATTAAGTTTCCTATTTGCCACTAACCCTTCACCCAGACCTATGCAGTCAGAAAACCCATCCTTACCCCGCTTTCATCCTCTCTCCTTTTCCTTCCCTCCCTTCCCTTCCTCTCTTTTCCCTCCCTCCCTCCCTTCCTTCCTCCCTTCCTTCCTTCCTTCCCTCTCTCCTTCCTTCCTTCCTTTTGTCCTTCCTTCCTTTTCTCCTGTCTTCCTTGTTCTGGTACTAGGGCTTGGGTGCTGTCCTATAGTTGAGCCACAGCTCAACTTATGGCTTTTTGGTGATTAATTAGAGATAAAAGTCTCTTTGACTTTTCTGCCTGGGCTGGGTTTAAACTGTGATCCTCAGATCTCAGCCTCCTGAGTGGCTAGGATTAGAAGCATAAGCCACTAGTGCCCGGCCACCTTCTTTCTTTTTTATTTATTAGATATTTGCCCTTAGGTATGTTTGATCTTTTCATTCTTTATTGATTTTGGTCATATTACTCATATTTACTGTTTTATTTATAGCAAATAGAGCAGTAGCTGTCACTGAAAAATAATCAAATTAACCAATCATACTCTTTCTAGGCTGGAAAGTTATTGTCACTTTGTAGATTGTGGTGATAGCATGACACTCATCTCCAATTAATCACCAAGGCTGGCATTTTACCACTTGAACTAAGCTCCATTGGCAGCAAATTGCTAGTTAATTGGAGATAATATTTGTCTGCCCAATTTGGCTTCAAATCATGATTCTCAGATCTTGGCCTCTTGGAGTAGCTAGGATTGCAGTTGTGAACCACCTTACCAGGCTCTCAAAATTTACACTATAAATCTTGCACATACTAGGGTCTCAATGTTTGTTATCTCAAGTTGAATTTTAAAAATTGAGATTTGGGCTGGGAAGGTGGCTCAGTGGTAGAGCGCTTGCCTTGCATGCCTGAGGCCCTGGGTTCGATTCCTCAGCACCACATAAGCAAAAAGAAGAAAGCCGGAAGTGGTGCTGTGGCTCACGTGGTAGAGTGCTGGCCTTGAGCTGAAGAGCTGAGGGACAGCGCCCAGGCCTAGAGTTCAAGCCCCACAACTGGACCAAAAAGAAAAAATCGAGATTTCTTTATTATCTGTCTTGCTAAATTGATAGATTCTAAACTTTTGTTCTTCTATTTGAAGTCAATAATTTCAAAATCAATAAGAACTTATATTCTAATTACTTAAGTTAATTAAAATTAATGACCATTAATTAAGATTCATGACCATTTGCTGTTATATAACAATTTAGCTTATTTTGTAGTGTCTATAGTTAATATTTTTATTTGATTATTTCACAGTCTTTCATATTAAGAAAAGCTTCATCTTATGAAAATATACAAAAACCTCTCAGATCAAAATGGATATATTGGAAGGTATGGTAACTGTGGTTTTTACTACTAAAAATCATTGTTTGTAATTTTAGCAGAAATAATCACTTTGTACTTTTCTCAAAAGCAAACATATGCATTCTATATTATAATCACATTGTAATATATTAGAAATATAATAAATTACAAATACAGTTTCTTGAGGGGGGAGGATAATAAATCATGGAGAGTTCATGTCTTTGCTGTAATTTAGTTATCTTAAATGGATAACTAGCTTGCATGAAATTGTTATTTTTCAGAATCTGGGTCTAAATTGATTATAAAGAAAAGCATCTTTATAACAAATTATTAGCAAAAGAAAATGCAATTTATTCATTGATAGTAGCTCTATTAGGAAACTATATCAAAGGATTAAAAATTTATTAGTAGTGAATATTATGCTTAATCACATATGATTATTACAGATTATTTATAATAATTTTAATGCTAAACAAATTGTTATGTTGATTCTATAATAACTAGATCCAATAAATGATAGAATGGAATTTTGTTTTGTAAGTTCATAAATATTGAGTTGAAGCCATTGGAGAACGTGTTTTAATAGTACGGTATAGAAATTCAGTGTTGTTAGAACAGTTTTGAAAATAAACTCAAATTGTTTTTTACCCATTCTATCATTTTTGGTATTAAAAGTAAAATGAGAGAACTAGACATATAGAAAATATCTGCATTCAGTTAAAATCTATAAAAACATAATTAGTATGTGTCTATATGTACTAATGAAAACAAATTAATTTATTATGTTTTGCTTCAACTAACCCACTGTTAATTTGATTTGACTTTTGACTAATCTTAGGAATCTTACTAGACTCTTTAAGAACATCAGTATTCCTCAAACTATTCCATGAAATAGAAAGAGTAGGAATACTACCAAATTCATCTAATGACTTCAACATTACCTTGATAGTGAGTAGATAAGGGGCACTTACAAACTGATAGGCCACTTTTCAAAACTCCTCAGTAAAACATTTGCAAACCAAGAATTAAACAACACATTGAACTATCATATAATCAAGTTGGTTTCATTCCAGAGATACATCGGTGGTTCACCATATGCAAACCAATAAGCATAATCCAGATCATAAGTAGAAATGAAGACACAAAAAGGCATGTGATCATCTCATTAAATATAGAAAAAGCCTTTGACAACATCCAACATCCCTTTATAATAATAGCCCCAAAGACACTAGGAATAGAAGGAATGTGCTATAACACAATGAAGACTCTACACAACATACCCAGAGTCAGCATTATCCTGAATGGAAAAGCAGGAATCATTTGCTTTGAAATCAGGAACAAAGCAAGGCTGTGCCTTCCATTCTTATTCAGTACAGGGCTTGAGTTCTTAGAGCAGTAAGGCAAGGGAAAGTAATAAAAGAGACACAAACAAGAAGGAAAGACATCCAATTATCCCTACTTGCCAACAATATAATCTCATACTTACAAGACTCTAAAACTCCAGAAAACTCTGTGAGCTGATAAACAGTCTCAAAAAAATGGTAGGATGAGAAATCCTCAATATATGTTGAAGAAAAGACAGCTTCTTCAACAAAGAGTGCTTAGAAAACTGGATATCTGCGTGCAGAAGACCAAAACTAGATCCCTATCTCTCACAAACATTAATTCAAACTGGATTAAAGATCATAATGTAAGAGCTGAAACTTTGAAACTACTTAAGAAAAACACTTGAAGATAACAGGCATAGGTCATGACTTTTTGAATGGGAATGCAGTAGATCAGGAATAATAGCAAGAATTGACAAATGGGATTGCATCAGATTAAAAAGCTTTGTGCTTGCTTTGGCAGCATGCATACTAAAATTGGACAGACACAGAGATTAGCATGGACTCTGTGCAGAGAAGGCACAAAAATTCATGAAGCTTTCTGTATTTTTAAATCAATACACCAGAAAGACACTTGCATATTTTTGTTTGGTGCAATGATGTTCCCAATAGCCAAATGATGTTATCAGCTGAGGTCCAACAACAGATGAATAGATAAAGAATATGTGAGAATACATATATATGTATTAGAATATATAGATTAGAATATTGCATGGCCATAAAGAAAAATGAAATTATGTCATTTGAGGATACTGGAGGCAGTTGGAGAATATCATAAATGAAACAAACCAAGATCAAAAACCAAAATATTGCATGTTTTCACTCATATATGAAAGCTAGACCTGAAAGACATATACATACTTATGAACATATACATATATGCATAGATATATATCCATACACATAAAAATTGTTTAAATGGATAAACATAGAGTATGAATCAAAGCAAGAAACTACTTAGGAGAAAGAGAATGTAGAAAGGAACAAAAGAAGGTAAATAATTTTGTAATAAATTACAATATATATGAAAACATCATAAAGAAACTCAATGAATGCTGTTAATCAATGGGGAGGTATGGGGGGTGTATATAGAAATAGACTGTCAGGTGTTCAGAACTAATGGGAAGGAGATGAGCTAACAAGGAGGGTAAAGGAAGTTGAATATGATCAAAATAGATTATCTACAACTATTAGAATAGAATAACGACAGTAATGAAAATTGTTTTGGGAAGAAGGTAATGAGGGCAAGTAGAATGATAGATGAGGTGAGATGAATTGAAATACACAGTAAACACATGTGGAAATCTAACCATGAAGGCCCACTATAGCTAGTGTAAGTTAATAAAAACACAAGAGAAAAATCTTTGCTAGCCATTCATCCAACAGTGGATTAATAGCCAATCTATGAAGAAATCAGGAAACATTAAACCGAAAGAATAACGCAGTTTAATTAGTCAAATTAACTGAATGTACACTTTTCAAAAGAAGTACAAATGCCTAGTAAAAAGTCAGAGCATGTGACTCAAGTGGTAATGTGCCTACCTAGCAAGCTTACAGAGTGAAGCTCAAACTTCAATGGTGTCAAAAAAAGAGCAAAGTCAGCAGCAAACAGCCAAATAAGTACATGAAAACTACACAGGAAATGCACTGAGATTCTGTTTTACCCCAGGTGGAATGACAACTCAATAAGAAAACAAATAACAGCCACTGCTGCCATGTATATGAAGGAAAAAGGAAATCTCACACACTGTGGGTGGGAATAGAAATATAGTCACTATGGAAACCAGTATGGAGGATCCTTGATAAAAAGTAAAACTAGAACTTCCATATGATGTAACTCTATCAACTTTTGAATATAACTGATGCCAGCACACAATAAAGAAGCCTGCTCATTTATGTTTATCACAGTACTATTTGCAATTACCAGGGTATGGAATTATTCTTGTTTCCCATTAGTAGATTCATAGAAAAACATAACATGGCATGTGTACACAATGGAATATTATTCAGCTATGAAGAAAAATGAAATTATGTCATTTGGGGGAAATAGGTAGAATGGAGTTCAACATGTTAAATAAAATAAGCCAGATTGAGAAAGACAAATACCATATGTTACTTGTTCATTGTTAGTTAATTGTTTATTATTTTCATTTTTATTTATTCACTTATTTTTTGCTGGTACACGGTTTGAACTTGAGGGCCTCACGATGTTAAGCTAAATAAGCCAGACTGAGAAAAATAAAGACCATATGTTTTCTCTTATGTGAAATCTATTTTTGACTCTTATTTTTGCTGGAACTAGAGCTTGAATTCAAGTTTCTCACTCTCACACAGCTTATTTGTTCATGGCTGGTGTTATACTTGAGCCATGATTTCTGTCTGGCATTTTGCTGGTTAATTGGAGATAGAGTCTCAGATTTTTCTGCCCAAGCTGGCTTCTTTGAAACACAATTATCTAGGTCTCAGTCTCTTGAGTAGCTAGGATTTGCCTGCATGAGCTACCAAGGCCCAGTAACATGGAAAATAGAGTTTAAAAAAACCCATGAAAGTAGAAGAGAAAACCATTCTGAAAGAGGAAGAGGAACAGCAAAAGGAGGGAAAAAGGGAGTAAGAGATAAGAATATGGGTGATAATTATGATCAAAGCACATTATATACATATACAAAAATTTTATAATGAAATTCATTATATTGTCTGATGAATATTACTGATACATTTGAAAGAGAACCCAAAAAATACATTTCAATAAAGTACATTAATGATAGTTGTAATTAAGTTAACTTTGCATGTCAAGCAAGAGTAAATAGATTTTATGCTTAAAAAAACCCCTACCCTTTTGTTTCCTTACTAAAGAGAGCAAAATCTTCTCCTGATTTGTGGAAGGAGGTCACCCAATTGTTGGACATAAAAGATGACACACAAAGCAATATGAAAGAGTTGAGACTCCAGAAAGCCAAGGCGTATGAGGCTCGTCTTTCTCAGGAAGAGCCATCAGAGGTCTCTGTGAAAAAAAGTATAAGTGACATCTTAGATAACTTGGAGGAAAATAAAAAAACTTCTTTCGCTCTCATTGAAGCATCAAAGAAAGCTGGCATTAATTACATTGTGTATCCCAGAAAAAAGAAGGTGAAATGGAAGAAAAAACTGAAATTCTCCAAACTTAACTTTGTGTATGAACAGCTAGTCAAGCCTCCACAAAAGCTTGAAAGGTCTTGTTCCAGTAATGTATTTCTATGATTTAAGAAACTTATTGTGGGTCTGAGACTTAATTTTATAATTTCATCTAGTCCAGTTTATTATTTTATTCAGCCTGAAAATACATCGAACTACAATGCCAACCCCTCATGGTAAAGATGTATGAGCACTTCATAGTATATTGAACAAGGAATGGTTCAGACTATTGATTGAAAACTCATTCATTTTAATTGAATGGAAAGAAAAGGAAGTGGTTTGGAAAACCAATTCTTGCTCCATACAAAGACTGCCATTCAAAAATGGATGTTAAAGGCTTTCTTTTTCCTTCCCCCAGTCCCCTACACTCCATACTGGGGTTTGAACTCAGGGTCTCACATTCTCACTTGCTTAGCTTTTCCTCTCAAGACTGGCACTCTACCAATGGAGCCATAGCTCCACTTCCTGTTTTATTGGAGATAAGTCTCATGGACTTTCTGGCCTGGATTGGCTTTGAGCTAGGAGCTCATCCTCTTGAACAGCCGGGATTACAGGAGTAAGCCACCGACACCTGGCTATACTTTGTTCTTCCTACTCTCCAGTCCATGTCCTCTCTAGTCTCTGGGATGACATTTTCTTTCTCCTGTCATATTTGTCTCCTCAGTCCTTCAGTATAATTCCTCTGGAAGATAAGGCAGGGGACTATAAATAAATGAAACTTAAAGGGGCAGTGTCCTCACTGTGTTACAATTGAAGGAGATCATCTCTCTCTCTCTGTTTTTGTTCAGTTACCCTTTTCTATTTATTTTTAAAAAGTATAAATGAAAAGAAGGCTGGTTCCTTTTATTAACATATTTGTCCTGGTTGAGGTATGGAAACAAAGACAAAGAGGCCCTGAGGATTGATCTATGCATTTTCTCACAGTAATGATGATGATGATGGTGATAGCGATGATGACAAATCATGGAGACTAGTTACAGGAGGAGACCATCTCTTTAGTAGTAGTTCACTGGTCTCCTAGTTCACTCATTTAATACAGACTCTTCATACTGTGTTGCCATTTTAGTTTCAGAAAAGATAGATTCTGGAGGCATAAATCATAAGTCATAAATAATACACACATAAATCAGTGTGTAGTTTTATTTGGAGAATTGACAAGTAGTGATTTTTGGATGTGGATGCATTGCCTCATTGATCAGGAAGATAATTATGCTTTTGTAATAAAGGATTTTTCTTTTTCAACTAGATCATTGTCTCATGGAATACTTCCTGGGCAGAAGAAATTTTTGCTCAGAGTTCCAGTATATGAACGTCCAATCCGATGTCCCAGCTTACCGTGTTTATATTTCAATGAATACCTTGCAACAAAGGGAGGACTGAGAAAACTCCAGGATTCTCCGACGTGGGTTACTAATATATTGAGGGAAGCGCAGCGACCGGAAGCACGCCCAACTGCTGGGAGAGCAGAGATCCACAAAGTCCTGCCTGAAAAAGTGGCAGATGCACAAAAAATAGAACTACGTGATACTTTGGCATGTGATCTTCCACCAGAAGTCATTAAATATTACAAAGCTGAAGTGGCAGCCTTGACTGAAGAAATACAGAAGAATAAAACACACCTTGCGTTTGCCTATTGTAGGCGTGGAGCAATTTATAGGAAACTGGGCAAGTTGCTTAGCGCCATGAATGACCTGCAAGAAGTAAGTTTTTCAAAATAGAAAGAACAATATTAGTTCACTACTCTTTTTCCTCTCTCTCTCTTTCTCTCTGTCTGTCTGTCTCTCTCTTTCTCAGCAGTATTAGGGATTGAACTCAGAGCCTCACAGTTGCTCAGCTTGATTACTTGATTGGTGCTGTACCACTTAAGCCATGCTTTCAGGCTCCTGAAGATGGAGTATTGTGGACTTTTCTGCTTGGGCTGACCTTGAACTGTGATTTTCTGGGTTTGGCTTCCTGAATAGCTAAGATTACAGGTGTGAGTGAGCCACTGGTGTCTGTAGGAATCCTTCACGCTGGGGACCACACACAGAGGCAGGCAGGCAGGCAGGCACAGGAGAAAGATGATTGTAAGGTTTATTAGAGGAGCCATATTTCCCCGGGAGAGAGGGAGCACATGGGATCTGCCCCTGTCCCAGGGGTGGGCAGGTCTGGGTGGAAGGAAGTAAGGGCTAACGTGAGGTAAGTGTGTGTCTGGGAGGAGAGGGAAGTGCCAGCTGTATGGAGCTCTAGGGCAGCCAGGAGCCTCAGGTCTAGGTGAAGCTGAGGACAAAAGGTGGGAATAATACTGACAGTGTCTAGCTTGCATTTTTTTTTTGTCAGTTGTAGGGCTTGAACTCAGGGCCTAGGCATTGTCTCTGAGCCTCTTTGTGCCCAAGGCTAGTTCTACCACAGTGCCACTTCCAGTTTTTGGGTAGCTAATTGGAGGTAAGAGTCTCACGGGGACTTTTCTGTCCTGGCTGGCTTCAAACTGTGATCCTCAGATCTCAGCTTCTTGAGCAGCTAGGATTGCAGGCGAGAGCCACTTCTGAGGCCCGGCTGGCATTGGTTTTTAATGATAAATGTTTTACTGGAATGTTGAACAGTGAATGGTTGTCATTTATAGAATATAAAGTTGTAAAAGATAGTTATTGCATTTTTCAAATAATTATTATCAAAATTTTTTTCACCTTGGTGAAACCCTGTTGGTACAATTAATATATACTGTGGAAAAAAACAACAAGAAAGTAAAACAGGTTCTGTGTAGGTGTGTAGGGGTAATGCAACAGAGGGTGGGAAGAGGGTGAATACAGAGGATGAAAGGGATGAATAAGGTCAAAGTGATGTATTTGCACTTATAAAAACAGAACAATGAAACCTGCTGAATTACTTTAAAAGGGAGGACCAGGTAAAATAAATCAATGCTAGGGATGAACAATGAACCTCTCCCCCTTACAACTGATGTAGGCTAATAATAAAAATTGTAAAGTTGGGGCTGAGAAGGTGGCTCAGTGATAGAGTGCTTGCCTTGCATGCATGAGGCCCTGGGTTCGATTCCTCAGCACCACATAAGCAAAAAGAAAAAAAGCCAGAAGTGGCGCTGTGGCTCAA